GCTGCTGACCAAAGGGTTTGAGCCCATTGAGGCTATTTTTATTGGATGGTATTTTGTTGTGTACATATATTTTGATGTCTGAATAAAGTGTAACACTTTTCATTACATTGATCTCACATTCCGGCTATAATTGGTCTCCTCCTAGATTTATTAGAGACAAGCTGGTAAAGACAAGTGATCGTGGCACCCTGTGATCTGTTATTATTTTTGTTGTAATACAGGTTTGTGTCTGTATAATATCCTGGGACAGTCAATGCTCCCTGTATAGTGCTGCTCTCTGTATAATACAAGTCTGTGTATAATATCCCGGGACAGTCAGTGTTCCCTGTATATTGCTGCTCTCTGTATAATACAGGTCTGTGTATAATATCCTGGGACAGTCAATGCTCCCTGTATAGTGCTGCTCTCTGTATAATACAGGTCTGTGTATAATATCACGGGACAGTCAGTGCTTCCTGTATAGTGCTGCTCTCTGTATAATACAGGTCTGTGTATAATATCCCGGGACAGTCAGTGTCACTGTATAGTGCTGCTCTCTGTATAATACATGTATAATACCCACAGATTCCAGGAACTAAAGGGATCAGACGCAGTAGAGTTTTGACTGAAGTCTCAGTGTGAGACATTTAACATGTTGAATTGGTGGCATGAAAAGGGGCTAATGGAATATGTGTTTATGTTTTCCTTTTGCTCCCATTTCTCTCTTTAACTCCATTCTGTAAATTATCCTATATTATCTTTCATTTTCTATTTTCAGCTTTTTTTTAAAACTATATTCACTCCCCACTATAATTATTTTAGTGAACTAATGTATGTTATATGGTATAGACACAACTCTGACTGAAGCACATCTACACAAGGTCTTTTTTTAAATATTTGTACAGACAGTGTCACCACCGATACCCAACTCACCTAAAAGTGATAAAATGTACCTGCCTGATATAGATGCTGTGCTGTGAATGTGTCTGTCGCATACCATGGACACATGGTACTGTTGGTGGGAACTTGGTGTTATAAAGGTCTACTCAATAAAGAGAGAATTGCAGGGAATTGTGATGGGAATTTCCAACATTAGGTTGAAATAGTGCAGCTGAATGGGAGAATGTTTCTAACTCAGCTACTTTGGCCTTAAGTTTAAAATTACCATCTCAATTCCCTGTAAAACTCTCTTTATTGAGTAGACTGTAATCTGTACTGTGATAAGTAAGCGGGGATTAATTATGTGGGTTGGACATAGTGGGCCGAGGTTTGCGGCAGTGGGTGTGGTAAACTTTAAAGGTAGTAATTGACAGCTGTGCTGCAAAATGTCCTTGGAATTTTTTTTTAAATGTTGGCAACAAAGGCACTGTATCAAGGGAAATGTGTTTGGTTTTTTAATAATCCCTGGTGGAAAATAATGAATCCTCCACCAGGGATTATTTAAAAAAAATAATAAAAAAATCACACATTGTGTTGGGGCGGGGCTTAACATGCAGCAGGAGCTGGGTCAAACTGCGACGAGGGTGGGGTTAAATGTTCCCCCCCCCTAAAAATGAATCCTAGAGATGCCACTGCTCAGAGGACAAAGATATTCTACTCATTCTAGATAAACATGGAGTGAACCCACCAGATATTTAATTTTAGTGTAGGAGAAGAAATTGAGAATTATTCTTTATATGTTGGTGCAACGTGCCTTCCATGATAGAATGTTAGGGGTGATTTAATGTGACAACCAACATGGATTATCTTGGTTAAAAATGAGTTTTAATGAGTTTTGTCATAAGTAGCATGCACCTATGTAAAAATCAAGATCTTTTAGTAAGGTTAAAACCCTTAAGACCCTACTAGAGTATATTTAATTAAACAGCCTGTTCTGTATGAATTCTATTCCAAAATTGAATAATCCACGTATTTAAGGCAGAAAAATTTGGTTAAACTAAAAAAACATTTTTTTTGTGTGGTTGAATCAAATACTGGCCATGTGGCATTTTGATTTGGGCAAATTCCGCCCAAGGAATCTTTTCAGGAATGTTTCAGGAAAGGTTTCAGGAAAATTACATGAAAATGTACATTTTAGAGTGTGGTAAAAAAACCAAAACATTGCTTTTTCTTCATTCTCTCAATTTTTTTCTGGCACCATGAGTGGAACTCCAATACACGAAATGAAGTTGCTTATCCAATGGACATTCCATTTGTTTCATAATTGATCCATATGGTGTTTTGGAGTCGAAGAATTATACGAAATTCGGACAAATCATAAGAGTTAATTGTTGTTAATGGTTTTAACCCTTTGAAAGATCTCCTTAGTACTTTGCCAAGTAAAATGCATCAACATTATTCCATTTCAGAAATTGATTCATTGTTCTATATTCACTGATTCTGAAACTTACTAGACATGCGCTTCATGCTTGCATTTAATTAGGCAGCCACTTTCCTCCACTTAAAAATAGTTCTTTTGGCAAGTAAAATAATCAATCTTTATTCAGCACAAATTGGTATATACTTTAAGCCAAGTACACTATTATCTGCTTTGTGCATGTACAGCTCATTAATATGCCTGTTCTAAAACAATGCAATCAATATCTTTGAATCAAATTATAATGTATTCAGCATTTAATGGACTATTTAAAGGCTCTTTCTTTTGAGACATAACAAGTGTCTTAGTGAGTCCCACTGTCTATCTTCAAAATCTACTCATCACTACCTTTGCTTCGGTAATTTTGAAAAAAAAAAAATCTCCGTAAAGCAGAATTAATTATATATTTAGTCAACCATTTGTAATGCATTATTAAAATGATTTAACAATTTGCATTGTTTTCTATAAAAAGAAAAATGAAAATACGAGAATGTTATTGTTAAATTTTAAGCATAGTGCAGCTAATAAAAAGCCTTTTCAGAACTTATATCAACGTAATTAAATAGAAAAGATAAAGTATTGCAAAACCTAAAACAAATGTGTTGTATGTATGCATGCACTTTCTTGTTATATTTCAGTAAGTGTTTATATGCGATACCAGAAGGTGTTAATTTAATCACAAAAACCACACGATGGTTAATGCCTCATTTAGTGCAGGGCTTTAACACCCATTGAGAGCATAGACCATTATGCATTAAAAGTACCAGCACGGTCGATATATCTGTTGGTACCATTTACCAAATGTACAACATACAGTTGTAATCAAAATAATTCAACCCACATTGTCAAAATGTACAGTCCTTTAGCTGTTTGCAATAAAAAAATAAAAAAAAGCAATTGAAATAGCTCAACACAACTAATGCTTCAAGTAAATACATCAAATTCAACTGAAAGTGCTACTTATAATGACTTTTCCATTTGAAAAAGCACTCACAATTTCTAGAGCAATGCATTTGCTCAGTTTTTGTAGCATGGAACAATCCCCAAGTGTATCCCCAATACATAAAAGAAAATATAATAATAAAGAAATAACAGTCAAGATTACCAGGTTCAAAACATGTAGAACTTAAATGGTTTTTTGATAAATACACTTAAAAACGAATAGTAAAAGAGTCCAACGCGTTTCACCTGTAGAGGCTTTTTTCAAGAAATTCAAGAGCTGTATGTGCAAACCAGGTGCTAAGTGGGAATTTGTGACATGAGTATTTTCTTTTTTTCTGAAATTGCTTTTTTTCACAGAGGAAACTGTTCAGTTTGGTTAGTTCTGTGTTTTGGTTCAGTTACTTGAGCTCCTCTGTTCCAGATTGTATGTAAACCAAGATAATCTTGTCAAGTCTTTTGATAGTAAATTTTTGATCTGTTGTGTATGACTACTCTTTAAGATCATCTTATATTATTATTATAACGTTATTATTTATATGCCGACAAACAAATTCTGCAGCTTTACAGTGGGTGGACGAACAAACATGTAGTTGTAACCAGACAAGTTGGACACACAGTAACAGAGGGATTGAGGCCCTGCTCAGTGAGTTTACATGTTAGAGGGAGTGGGGTATAGTGACAGTAACAGAGGGATTGAGGGCCTGCTCGGTGAGTTTACATGTTAGAGGGAGTGGGGTATAGTGACACAGTAACAGAGGGATTGAGGGCCTGCTCAGTGAGTTTACATGTTAGAGGGAGTGGGGTATAGTGACACAGTAACAGAGGGATTGAGGGCCTGCTCAGTGAGTTTACATGTTAGAGGGAGTGGGGTATAGTGACACAGTAACAGAGGGATTGAGGGCCTGCTCAGTGAGTTTACATGTTAGAGGGAGTGGGGTATAGTGACACAGTAACAGAGGGATTGAGGGCCCTGCTCAGTGAGTTTACATGTTAGAGGGAGTGGGGTATAGTGACACAGTAACAGAGGGATTGAGGCCCTGCTCTCATGTTGAGTATAGTACAGTGTTGAGGGCCTGAGGGAGTGGGGTATAGTGACACAGTAACAGAGGGATTGAGGGCCTGCTCAGTGAGTTTACATGTTAGATGGAGTGGGGTATAGTGACACAGTAACAGAGGGATTGAGGGCCTGCTCAGTGAGTTTACAGTGACACACAGTTTGAGGGCCTGCTCAGTGAGTTTACATGCTAGAGGGAGTGGGGTATAGTGACACAGTAACAGAGGGATTGAGGGCCCTGCACAGTGAGTTTACATGCTAGAGGGAGTGGGGTATAGTGACAGTAACAGAGGGATTGAGGGCCCTGCTCAGTGAGTTTACATGTTAGAGGGAGTGGGGTATAGTGACACAGTAACAGAGGGATTGAGGGCCTGCTCAGTGAGTTTACATGTTAGAGGGAGTGGGGTATAGTGACACAGTAACAGAGGGATTGAGGGCCTGCTCAGTGAGTTTACATGTTAGAGGGAGTGGGGTATAGTGACACAGTAACAGAGGGATTGAGGTCCTGCTCAGTGAGTTTACATGTTAGAGGGAGTGGGGTATAGTGACGCAGTAACAGAGGGATTGAGGGCCTGCTCAGTGAGCTTACATGTTAAAGGGAGTGGGGTTTAGTGACACAGTAACAGAGGGATTGAGGGCCCTGCTCAGTGAGTTTACATGTTAGAGGGAGTGGGGTATAGTGACACAGTAGCAGAGGGATTGAGGGCCCTGCTCAGTGAGCTTACATGTTAGAGGGAGTGGGGTATAGTGACACAGTAACAGAGGGACTGAGGGCCCTGCTCAGTGAGTTTACATGTTAGAGGGAGTGGGGTATAGTGACAATAACAGAGGGATTGAGGGCCCTGCTCAGTGAGTTTACATGTTAGAGGGAGTGGGGTATAGTGACACAGTAACAGAGGGATTGAGGGCCTGCTCAGTGAGTTTACATGTTAGAGGGAGTGGGGTATAGTGACACAGTAACAGAGGGATTGAGGGCCTGCTCAGTGAGTTTACATGTTAGAGGGAGTGGGGTATAGTGACACAGTAACAGAGGGATTGAGGGCCCTGCTCAGTGAGTTTACATGTTAGAGGGAGTGGGGTATAGTGACACAGTAACAGGGATTGAGGGCCTGCTCAGTGAGTTACATGTTAGAGGGAGTGGGGTATAGTGACACAGTAACAGAGGGATTGAGGGCCTGCTCAGTGAGTTTACATGTTAGAGGGAGTGGGGTATAGTGACACAGTAACAGAGGGATTGAGGGCCCGGCTCAGTGAGTTTACATGCTAGAGGGAGTGGGGTATAGTGACACAGTAACAGAGGGATTGAGGGCCCTGCTTAGTGAGGTTACATGCTAGAGGGGGTGGGGTATAGTGGCAGTAACAGAGGGATTGAGGCCTTGTTCAGTGAGTTTACATGTTAGAGGCAGTGGGGTATAGTGACACAAAAGGTAAGGATTGTATTAGACTAATGACAGTTGTAAGAGAAGAATCAGTCGGGAGCTATTAACAGTTTAATTGATATGCTTTTATGAAGAAGTGGGGTTTTAATAATTTTTTGAAAGAGTGGAGACTGGGTGAGCATCGAACGGTAGAGGGAAGTGAGTTCCACAGGAACGGCGCAGCCCTCAAGAAGTCTTGAAGGTGAGCATCAGAGGTGGGAGTACGGACAGAAGACATATGTAAGTCTTCAGCATAGCGTAAGGGCCTAGACTGGACATACTTGGTCCGATATTGGTCAATGTATGACCCAAGACTATTATTTTAGTATTACACTATTTTGCCCTTTCAGAGAATGTCTTTACTCAAATCTCAACCTTTTGTTTTTGATCAGAGACGATTCTAAGCCAAAAACCTCTATTTTCAGAGTTCATTAGTGATGACTTATTATAGCTAACAAGACTGATTGATGAGTCCAAATTCATTGAAAATAACTGAACACAGTAACTAGATAAGTTAACGCTAAATGGAAAACTTGATTTTATGTTTTAAGACTTACCTCCCCAAAAAAGTAAAATCTCCTCAAAACATTGATATCAGCTTGTGTGGCTTTTCTTCTCCCATGTGAGAACTGAGTTGATTCTACAATATTAACTATGCAGCTATTAAAACATTTGAGAATTGTGGATAACTTTACAAATTAAAAAAACAAACCGCAGAATACTGAAATTATAGACGACTGAAATTATATAAACAAGAAATGTTTTAAAAATATTACATGTCTGAGAATGTTCTGTTTACTTAACAGAAAACTAAGAATTGATAAGTGAAGAGAATGTTATCACTTTCTTAACTCATTTAACATTTTGGAAAACAAAGCTGAAGGTATTTTTAACCTTTATATTCAATAGTAAAAACATAACACATTCTGTGAAACTGAGCTTCCAAAAGGTTGTGAAGTTAATACACTGTTATAATTTATTATTAGAATTATCATTTATTTATATAGCACCAACATGATCTACAGAATAATGTATATATTTAGTAAAGGGTTTAAAAGAACTTTGTTTAGAAAGATTAATTGCTTTTTCTTTGCATTATTAATACTAATGTGACACATACACATAGCGCGATTATGTAGGTATGTTATGTTTACAGGGCTTCTACCAAGGTATCCTTAACCCCTTACGGACTGAGCCAAATGTACACGTTGTGATCAAAACAAAACGTAACAAAACTTGGAATTTGCACTAATTCACCTCTTTCATATTAAGTGCACCCACCCTTATTATATATAATTTTATTCAGGAGAAACAGGACTTTCATTTAACATCAAATATTTAGGTATGAAACATAATTTCATATGAATAAAATATAAAAAAATGTGAGGAATTATGAAATTGTTTTTTTTTTTTAGTTCTGCATGACATTTTAACTGTGAATGTCATAATACTGTTTGCTTTTACTGCAATAAAATACACCTATTTGTATTCAGCGATGTCTCACATGTAAAACAGCACCCCCTATGTACAGGTTTTATGGCGTTTTGGGAAGTTACAGGGTCAAATATAGCATGTTACATTTTTCCGTTTTTTCACATTGAAATTTGCCAGATTGGCTAATTGCCTTTGAGAGCGTATGGCAGCCCAGGAATGAGAATTACCCCCATGATGGCATACCATGTGCAATAGTAGACAACCTAAGGTATTGCAAACGGAGTATGTCCAGTCTTTTTTAGTAGCCACTAAGTCACAAACACTGGCCAAAATTAGCATTAATATTTGTTTGTGTGCGAAAAATGCAAAAAACAGATTTGAACGCCAATTTTGGACCTCGCGACCACATGGCCGGGAGGGCCGATTCAGCAGCAGGAGGACTCCCTGGCAAGTCCCACTATCGCCATCACCGGTGGGGGATCGCCAGAGAGCAGGTAAGTCCCTTGGATGGCGGGGACGTACTATGCTGCCCACTGGCATTTAGAGCCATCATGCGCGGCAAGTACTGTGAGTGCATTAGGCCCTCCCTATAGGAAAACATTGCCTCAATACTTTCCCATGGGAATTTCACTGATGCTGGATGTCCTCATGCACAGCATTGTTTGAGGGACTGCCAGAAAACCACAAGTGACTCTGGTGGCTGTCTGATAGACAGTGCAGGACTAAAGGGGACAAATAGTGTCCCTTTAAAAAAAATGTAACACAATGGAAATAGATTATAGTCAGTTATACTTCAAAAGAATATATATTTCTATGCATTACATTATTAAAACATTTTGTGAAGAAGAGGATCACTAAACTTATCTAAATCCAGTTTGTAAATACATAGCTACTTACCTTGATCTTAACTTTCAGGAGGGGGATGGTTAGCTTGGCACAGGTTATGCCTTACTATAGACAGGTTTGACTTTTAAAAATCAAGTACGTTAAGGGTCATGAAAAGTTTCTGTAAAATAGTGAATCATTCATGGCATGAGTTGGGACTTGCACTGCACCAGTGAGCCTAATTTTATTAAATATGATATTGGTACTATTATTTCTGTGTGCCTTCCTCATTTCCCTAATAAACTACTTTACTACTTTAATTCTAGTGGCATTCACTTCTTACAAACTCACCTTACTATAAGAAAACAAAAAATTACTGTAATGCATCACCTGATACACTGTGTTCTATCAACTTTTCATGCTAAAATTCAGATAAAGTCATTATGAGAACATTGTTACCTTTCTTTCTATTTCCATTTCTGCTAAGGCAGGTAATTTAAATAAATCTGTGATCAACAGAGAAATTTTCATCACAGAATGTCTCACCAGAGGGCAGTCCTGAAGGTATGGATGCATTTTATTGGCTGTACAGTTTTGCAATTTCAAGCTAAACACCCAAATATCTAAACATAACACAATCTTTATACAGTAAACAGAATTACAATTAAAGATGAACAGGGCAGATAATGTACACCAAAAAAAAAAGAGAGCCTTAGATGTGAGCACAAAATGACAAACACAGAAGGGGAGAAGAAAAGAGAGAGAAAAAAAATAACTAAATGGCAGCAATCCTCTGTAGGATCACCGTGAACCTACTGTGTAGATATCTTCTAAAATATATAAAAAAAATTGGGGGATTTTGGCATTGGTATATTATAAACTCTTACCATCCAATTAACTTTTTAACCATTTATTTTACTGCTATTTATTTATGCTGGTATTTGTCGATACTGCTATTTTATGGGGGAGATTGTGCACATATTTTATTGTCTTTCTGAATTTAAAATTGATTTGGATTTTTAGATAATTTCTATGAAATAAAACAGTCTGTTTTTACATTCTTTACGATGTTAGCCCCTTTTCGCTAAAATACACTGAACTCAAAAGGTGCATCATCTTTCACCATAGAAACGTGTTTGAACTTCTATCCACTAACATATTTATATTATATGTTTATGACCTTTTTTATTTATTTATTTATTATTTGTGCAACCTAACTTATACTATATATTTTAAAACAGGTCAAATAATCTAATCAATTTAACCATGACACCCCTATCCCAGTTATCTTTGAAACTACATTCCGTCACTCTCTCCCTCTTATGTTCCACCTATAAGCGGAGCAAGGAAATACATTAATCAAGTAATGCAAATATATCTATATGTTCCCCTTAGGGCTTTTCCTTAGCAAACATTCTCAGGTTCTCATGCATTCAGTTCACAAGAAAACATTCAAATCCTTACACTATGTATTCAAACCCTTGCAAACACACTTTCACACTCACTGTCACAACCTCTCATAGCTGTCTGCTTCCCTTCCATCCCCTTCACTACGTTTCTTCTTTCTAAGCATAAGACAGCTTATATCCTCTGGCAGGGGTGGGAGGTGTCTATTACCTGAACCCTGTGGGTTGAGCGATTCAATATTGCTCAATATATTGTGAGTAGGATTCTAATTTATTTTTATACTCACCATGAACACCAAGTCTGTATTTCTCTTTTATATATATCTGCTGATTACATCCAAAGTTGACATGATTCCCAGAGTAGGGATTGCACCACTCCAAACCAATACACGAGAGCCAATTTTGGACTCACTAACATGTGAGTGAGATACTTGCTATTGTCATTTCTACTTGAGTTGATAGTTTACTTCACCATAGGGTGATTCTCTCTATTATTGTGCCTACACACTAGGACCTCAACTCCAGTACCATTAGCAGGGATTGTTCCTCTCAAACCCAATAAGTAGAGTTGATTGTAAGCTCTATATATTGTAGATGCATTTATTTATTTTATCTACTATTTCTACATTGGTACATATTACACTATTGGATCCAATCTGTGCCATTTTGTTTTCACATATCGTGTCCTAAATCCCACATCCACCACTGCTGCTATTCACTATTGTTACCGGGAAGAGAGACTCTTGGCTTAGATGTCCGTGCTGCCTATTCCCAATCATTTAGCGGACTTTTATTAGTGTTTTGCTTACCTTTCCCTTTACCTTATCTTCTAACACTTCTTCTTCTTTCTACATCACAGTTCAAAAGTTAAATGGTCATCCTTGCAAAACAAGCATTTTGTGTAGAATAAACATGTTTGTAAAACAGCAAATTAACTTGATAACGAGGAGAATAAATGAGACAAAATTGATATCAACATTATTTTAAACAATGCTGTAGTTGATGAATTTTATTTGTGTGATGAAAGCACCTTCGTCACTGGGATTTGGAGAGGCCTGCTCGCCAGCCTCTTGCCCTGCGACTATGGCCCCTGGGATATATTGCCCTTTAAAACTATTTGGGCATATTGGATTTTAAAGGCACTGTTTCTGCCCCTT